ACTCCATTTTTTTCACTTTATCAAAAAAACATCCAAAATCAGCAGGTTTTTCTGTCTTCTTTTACTCATTTATTCTCCCCCAAAACTTTGTGACATCTCCAGCAGCGTCCATGAGGCTGGGGGCTATGTGCTACATCCTGGAATAGAGACGAACTGTCATCCACGAAGATCTACAAGCGGGGAATCAGAAGAGAAAGGCCTGTGGTGAGACGACTGACAGAAACACTGCTGTAGACACAGATGCACAAACTGGAAAGGTTTTTGTTCCTTGTTGCTGTTTGTGCCATGAAGAAATGGAAAGACAGTAGCATCGTGGTAAAGAGCTTGAATGTTTGAACAAAAAAACGTAATCTATATTTTAGTAAAAGACGCAGAGAGAAACGATGTACTTCCTGTTTCATGCGTTTTGTCCGACCTTGGAAATCTGGTCTGACTTCAACCGGCAACCTTAGTTTCCACCAGAGGTCACAGCAACTAATGGACCTTTCACTGGTCACCTTGTGCCTTAGAGGACCGGTCTGGGTGCCAGGTTCAAGTCCCGTCTGGCTTGATGCTGAGCAGACGCTCAAAAAAAGAGGACAAGTTTCATTGACTAATAAAGACACTTCTTCTTCTTCTTCTTCTTCTTCTTCTTCTTCACAACATAGTGGTGCCTTATTTATACTACATTTATATTTAAATTAACAATAAACACACAAAAAATGAATTATAATTATTAGTATTTTCTAGTCTAACCTTGAATCAAGGGTGTTTTTAAGATTCCAGTTACTTCTCAGTTGCTTGAAAATCTTTTGATATCTCAACAACCCTTTAAGGTTTCAGTGTTTTCCTAGACCTGTTTTCAACAGCGGTTTCAGAAAAGTTGAATCATGACATGACTTTGTATCAATGGACATTATTTTTAGAATTGTTTACCACAATATTTCCACAAAATTTCTTTAAAGAAACCCAAAGAACGGTTCCCATCATTGAAAACAGTCAATGAGAATGTTTTTTAAGTTGCTTGTAGTAAAACGAGGATGCAACAAAAATGCAAAAAATTTTATATAAAGATGGTCATAATTTTTTTTCATCCCTCACTCATCAGTGATTTTAGTCAAAATGACTTTAGATAACATTCTTTTCCCAGAATAATATTCTCTCCCTTACTTGATACTTGGTTCGTCCCTGCATTTCCCTGCTTCTTCTGACTTCGTAGACTCCTGGCCTGGGGGCCACTTGCAGCCCACAAACCCCTTTTTGCACTGTTGTATTTTTGGAAATATTCTCTATTTTATTTTTTTGTTGTTGTTGTTTATATTGAACATCCAACAGTAATGACAGTGGCAGCAGTGGCTCTCAGCTCACTTGAGTTTGAGACCCCTGCATTAGATTCTTGTGTTTGCTCCATCATTAATTCAGATGTGGGTTCAGCACATGGTCCTCCCTCTTCTCCCCCCTCTCTCTACTCCCCCCTTCTCTGCTCCACCCCGCTCGTCTGTGTTGAGTCGGTGTGTTGTTCGCAGCAGTGGGTCGAAGGGGATCAGAGATACAGAGGGGAGTGTACGGCTCCGCAGTCAGACAGGCTGCTCCTGCTCCTGCATTATTAACACCTGATGTTCACGGATGACCTGGAACTTCCCTCGCCGGGCGATGAATGGATAAGGTGCGTACTTGGGCGTGTAGCGGAGACACAGAGAATTAAAACGCAGAGGCGGTTACCACGATGGACACGTCAGACGTGGTTCACCGACGATGTCATTATTTCAGTCAGTTGATCACCTACAGTAGAGATCAATTATTTCAGTCACTACAGTCGTGATAGCAGTTAGTCCTGCATGGTGAACTTCACAGCCTTACTTCATCCAGAGGTGCTGCATCATTACCTCCTTAAATCATTCCACTTTTACCCAAATACAGTGGAACCTCAAGATACGAGCATTATCACGTCCAGGACTGAGCTCGTAACTCGAGGTGAGAAATAACAAGAAATAAGAAATAACAGAAAACAATTAATCCATTCTTGCTCACTAAAAAACTCCCTCATTAGGAAAGTAAAGTGAACTCCTTGTCATTGTGACATTGTGACACACATCACTGCACACAACCAAATGTGACCTCTGTTTTTAACCCATCACCAAAGTGAACAGTGGGCAGCTTTAAGGACCGAAGAGTGTGTGGAATGGTGCCGTGCTCAGAGCACCTTAGTGGTAACTTGGCAGCTGGTGGATTTGAACCTGCAACCTTCCGGACCCAAGCTTCCTTAACCACTAAGCCACCACTGCCCCCATTAGAGCTTATAACAATGGAACATTTTTAATTGCTATAGAGACATACACACACACATTAAAATAAATATAAAAAAATATAGTATATAAGGATTCCTGTGAATAAAATGTGGTTTTAATTATGAGTTCTTACCTTCGAGACAGACGATACAGTAGTGATTAATGTAGACATGTGGGGAGGAGGAGGAGGAGGAGGAGGGAGGAAGGGAAGGAAGAGAGTTCTCCCGTACATAGAGACTTGATTCCTTACCGTACCTTACACGTACACTACGTTAGAATTAAAGTTAGAATTAAATGTTTTTTTTTACCTTTCTATTTTTTATTTTTCAATGTATTCTTTCTTTAGCAGCACCACGCTCAGATCTATCGACAATTTATTTCTCTGCTTTATTTCCATGGTCATCATGCGTTTCTTCTTCTCACCATCATCCTTACCACTCACTCTCTTAGGACTCATCACTCTGATGAAGAATAATGCACAAAATAGAGAGAAAATCACGTAGATAACAGAAACTCAATATGGAAGACTCGCGGCAGATGTATAAGGAAGTCGGGGAGCATGTGAAGTGAATGAGTGAGGCGGCGTGGGCTGCTCCGAGTGCTCGGCCACCTAATGTCGGTGTCTGTAAGCGTGCTCGTATCTCAAATCATTACTCGTATCTCGAAGCAAAGATTTACTCGAAGGCTCACTCGTATCTCGAAATACTTGTTTGTCGAGATGCTCGTATCCCGATGTTCCACTGTACTCCGACAGAGGAGGAACCTGAATAAAATATAGATAATTTTCCCCACTGGCGCTGGAGCTGATCTGTCACAAACCCCTCTGAGAAAACTTCACAAGCACATAATGAGACGCTGTGAGGGTCTCACACCACTTCATTGTGTCTTTACCTCTCTCTAAACTGGGGGATGAAGAACACAAGGGGGGGCGGCAGGTTCAGAGCAAATTATGCATGCTTATTTATTCAAAGATGTTGCCCCGTAGAACAACCGACCTCCCCCCTGCCCCCTCCTGCTACTCACAGGCCTGAGTGAGCTCCAAATTACTTGAGTATTTAGGGAAAAAAATTCAAATAATGAAAAGGTGAGAAGAAGATAAGAAAGACAAGGGATGAGCTGTAAAAGTGGGAGAAAATTACACGGCAGTCATTGGGGAGGTCAGGAGAGAGTCAGAGAGGAGAAGGAAAAGAGGGGCATTAAAGAGGTAATCAGAAAAGGAGTTGGAGGGAAAAAGAAGTGTGATCAGAGCAGCAGTTAGAACAAAACCTAATTTGAGCCTCAGAGGAGAGAAAAAAAAATGGAAAGGAGCGAAAAAGGTGGGGGGGGGTGGAAACTGGAAGAGAAGGAGGTGAGGGAGGGTGGGCTGATGCTGGTGTAGAGTGTTTCCCATGGGTTTTAGCAGGAGAGGAAGATGGCTCAATGAGTCCGCCCCCCTACGAAGTAGCTC